CGATCATAAGAGAGCTTTAAGAAAGGCAACGTAATTTTCTAAGTCCCATAGAATCACTTCTTTCCGTCATGCTACACATCCATTTGCCAAAAATTTTACAATTGTTACAAGCGACACATTTTTTTCTCGCTTTCACTTCTTCTTATGTTATTAAATGAGAAAATAATGCAAATTGGATTGTGACATGAATGGGGATGTTGTGCAGGACCAAATTATTGTAATTATGGAAATTGTAAGCCGAGTCTCTATTGGGTAATCTTATTTAGCTTTTTACCGTAAATTGTAATGGCTCTTTTGTGACATATATTCCTGTTAATAATAAGCTTTTATAACCACAATTGCTTCAACTTACTACACGCTGTACACTCAGCATCCTCTTGTTCAGGCATGTATTTAAATTTGTTATTAGAGATTGTCGGTTTCCGTATAATTTTTACAGAACCTTGGAAAATATGCTATGAAGTATTTTAGGTAATTGTAATGATCATTACATTTAATGGATGTTTACGTTATGTTTTGTTGGGATTTAATCAGAGCTTATGCACCTATAATTACTGTGGATGATCTGAATTAATGCTGTCTTTTTGATGCTCACTGAAATGAATTAAAAATATTGTTCTTAAATGTTGATGGATACAAATTATGCCAATATGATTAACCTTGTTAATTTAATGTTAAAAAGGTAAAGATGTGTCTGAATGTCGCCATTTGACTTCAGGGGTTGTCAAGAAATTCCAGTAACGAGACATCAAATTAAAGACGAAACAATTCTTTGCCAAAACTGTCAATAAATGAAGATAAATCCATGATGTCGCCTTTAAACATTTTAAATTGCTCAAACAGCCTTGAACTCAATAATTTTTACAAAGATCCAAATCAAATTAAATTGTCTTGGAGCTTTTTATTCAAACGAGCGGATAAAAAATCACATCATGCTGACCAGACATTAATTTTTAGGTGACATTAAAGCTCATGTTGATTTTTATGTTTTATTTATAAAATTCATGTCCTTTATTGATACTTATAAGATTTCAACGAAGTTAGGGGCCATTCACTTATTACGTAACGCTTTTAGGGGGGGGGGAGTCTAAGGTTTTGTTACGGTTCAAACAAGGAAATTTTTTTTTCACACAAATTTTGTTACGAGGGGGGGGGGGGGGGGGTCTAAAAAGTCATTTTTTCGCGTTACGTAATAAGTGAACAGCCCCTTAGATTTGTTAAAATAAATTATAGAGGCGAAGAACTGGTATTGGAGATTCCTGGAATTCCTTAAAATCCATCCTTATATACGCGTCTTTTGAGAACCATCAACAAAAATTTAAAACCGCAAAATGACTGAAGCACCATTCAGCATTTTATTTCAACCAAATTTCTAAAGCACTTCATATTCAGCAAAAACTCAGTGCACATGACATCCTTCAAACTCAAGGACTTGGTGTATATTGAGAACAATCAGAGATGAATTCAAACATTTGTCAACACCTTGGCAGTGACAACATGCTGATTTTGGCAGCAATTTTGCTTGGTAAGCAAAACACAGTAGAATTTACTGAATTCAATGCAAGAACAGCATTTGCGGTTTTTGGAAGCAGCAACTGGCAATTGAAGTAAGATTTGAATGATTTTATCGATAGCTCGTCAACAATTGTAAATGTCCTTAACAAGCACTTTCACTAAAATATGAATTTGTTGAGCTTTTCATTTTATTTTATATTTTTTGAAGCTTCAACTTCTGTCAATAATTTAAGCTAGATTCTCAAGAGGTTTACTACCTGTTTTTAGAGCTGAATAGAGAGCAGAATAACTGTTGACTGTTAGCTTTAAAAATTATTTTGTGCTTCATCATGAAGTGCAAATATGAGGATGCAAACAGGTGGCAGTCATTGATTCAGAAACCATAAGTGAAAATGTCAAAAATAAATTGGAATCGTTGATATTTTAATATTGAGTGGAATTAAATGATTCTGCAGGTAGAGAGCTTTAATGTCGTTGGATTTTCCACTTGACTACATTCAGTGTGATGCCTTGGCGCTATGAAATATAGCCAATTGTAGCAATTTCATCCGTCTCCCTCAGATATTTGAATGAGCTCTGACTGAGTGCCTCCATTTGAAACCTCTTCTTCCTTAGAGACTCTGTTGACTCATTAATTACAATTTAATTACCAAAATAGACTGTATAAATTGGAACCGCTATTTTAATTCAGTTCCAATTAACACCTATGAACATCATTATTCTTCACTTAATAAATGCAGCATTGGCTCTTAAAGACATCCTTCAGAACTGCACGTTTATGCTTCATACTTTGACACTCTTCAAGTGCTTTGAAGTACACTTTTTGTCCTTCCATTAATTGCTTTTCTCCACATTCACAAGCGACTTGAATGAGTTGTTTCCTCTTCATCTTCGACACATTTCACTTTGATGATTAAAATCTAGATTTGTGATAAGACGGCGTCTCCCTTTGAAGTTTATGAAAACATGATGAACAGCAGTAAAAAAATTTACAGCGCCAGCATGTTGCACTCTCGAATCAAAATCAATTATTTTTCACTATTTGCTGCTTTATTTCCTTTCGGATATACACATATGCTGCAGACTCACGTTTAAAATGAGACTTGCTTTAGAATTTTCTACGAGTCATTCGAGGAAAAAAAAGCACATTATGCTGGTGCCAATTTTTCGGACAAGCTTTTTGTTTCTCTGTCGTCATAATATTTAATTAAAAGAATGTGGTTCGTTTCATGTAATTGGAAATACTCGAGTGAATGACATGCCTTCAATGGCTGTAATAGAACAGTTGAAAATTTGAGTCGAGAGATAGAAAAAAATATTTTTTTTTATTCATCATGTCCGGATATTTTTTTATGGACGATGATAAGTGTATGTTGGAATGCATAACATAGAAGTTACTGAAATCAAATGATTTTTTTTTTGAAAGAACAGAGGATATCAATTCATAGCTACTGTTAATAGAAAGTTGGAAGCTATTAAATCTATAATAATTCAAAGGACTATTTGAATTCAAAAATTTGAAGTTTTTACGGACAAAAAACCGTAAAATCAAAAATTTGAAATTTTTCTGCTAAAGTAATTTAAATTTTTATTTACCGTTAAATTTTTGATTTTGGAAAAATTAGATCAATAATGCGCTTCACCCAAAAATACAACATCTTTTCGAACTAATGTCATTACATAACGAAGTGCATAAGAAGAAGCTTATTTTTTATTATGGTAAACAGAATGGACATTAGAATTGTTGCTGTACAATAAAATCAGAGTGATATTGCTATTCTTTATTGCTCTGATTTTTTTAATGAGCAAGACAAAGTCGTGTAATTACTCGAGTATTTTCTCCTTGGTTGCGTCATACGCCGTAGCTTAATTTGATGGAAAAAAAGTCAAATTCTTATTTAATTAATAAATTCCAAACTTTAAAAGCTTAGTGCGACTAGACGTTGTTGTTTTAGACATGCCATTAATTCCACTGTTTTAATTATGTTATTTATAGAATTTATAAAGACTCGACGACTTTTAGCATTAGCTCTTACTGTGAAACACCTCATCAAAGGATTTCAGAATCGTGGTATGGATGGATGTTATAGATGCTTGCTGGATGGAAAATTTTATTTTCGGAGTTAATAGAATTTAAACATTTTTTTTGAATCAATTTCATTAGGGGGCGTTCACTTTTGACGTCTATAAAAACATGTTTTCTAGACCCCCCCCCCCTCTGTCACAAAATTTCTGTAAGAAAAAATTTCCTTTATGTGAGCTGTCACAAAATCCAAGAACCCCCCCCCCCCCCCCTAAATGTTGGATGTCATAAGTGAACGGCCCCTAAATGATGGACATCTTTTACAGAAGAATTAATTGTGATATAATTCTAAATAAAAGAAATCATAGCAATAGAAGTGACAAAAGCAATAAAATTCGAGTAATGACTCAAAGAATTAGACTCACACGTTAATCATTAATTCTCTATGGGGCCATTCACTTATTACGTAACGCTTTTAGGCAGGGGGGTCTTAGATTTTGTTACGGTTCAAACAAGGAAATTTTTTTTTCATACAAATTTTGTTACGAGGGGGGGGGGGTCTAAAAAGTCATTTTTTCGCGTTACGTAATAAGTGAACAGCCCCTATATAAACTGATATAAACCGCAGGACAACTGTATTGTATATGTAAGTTATTAATCAAACTATCGCAGTGTAGCTTTTATTGTGCATTGTAAAACATAAATCTGAAGTAAATTTAAGTATTCAAGTAAATCGTTTTAATAATAAGAAATTTGGAAAAATGGATAGTCAGGACGAAGTTATTAAGGATAGTCAGGAAAGAGTTGACGTAAGCAAGCAGATAAGAGATTTTGAATGCCGTGCAATGAGAATGAACAATAATAATAAACCAGCAAGCAAAAATGAAATTTTACGTAAAGGTGAAGCGCATGGATCAAATATTTCAAGAAGAACAATCGCAGGAAGTGGTTGTAGTGCTCAAATAAGAATTCAGGATGATTTATTTATGAAAAATACATCCGATGATGCTCAAAAGGATTTCAAAGAGAAACAGAATCAATAAGTCGACGAATAAAAGATTTCATGTTCCTTATGAACATTCCATTTACCGTACATAGGAAATTATTATATTCAAATATCATTAAGAATGATTATTATTACGTGTAAAAAGAGTCAATTGTATGACTCATATCCTTTGTATGACAAGGATGAACAAGTGACAAATTAATGACATTTCATGCTTCAAAGTAAAATCTATTACAAAATATTGTTTAAAAGATAAAATATTTCAAGAGAAGAGAAAAAAAATCACACAAAGAGTTTCTCTCCATAAATTGTGTGTATACTCCGTGTCTACTCATGCAGACACATACAAAAATATGTTAAAAAAAAGAGCGTAAATATTTTATTAATGCATTTGTGACTAAAAAGTGAACAAAAAACAAAATATTGTGAAATTTTAATAATTTAAAAGTTTTTAAAATGGAAAAAGATATTAAAAACAGGAATAATGAAGACGAAAACGATGAAGGAGAATCAAGAGAAATGAAATTAAACTTAATTACAAATAGTAAACAAGCAAATCAACATTTAGTGTCTTTAACCGGAAAACCTTTGACTCAAAAACCTAACGGATCAAATCAAGCATCTCCAAACACATCAGGAACAAGTCTACAATTGCAAACTAGTGAAAGTGAAGCGATTACAGGAACTGATACAAAAAATGACAAAAAAGGACTTTTTGATGGAATTAAAAAGATTTTTAAATGAAATTTAATAAAATTTTAAAAATGTTTTTTTTTTTGGTTCAAATTATTGTTTTACTTACAGGAACTAAAGTCGGAATTTAATTTGGAGTTAAATTTTATAATAATAAAAAAAACGTAGATCTTCGCGGGAAATAATTGAGAATTTTTATCAAGAAGAAGTTTTAATGTTTTTAAAAAAAGAGAGAATGAGAGAATTAAAGCATTTTAGGAGTTATGATCGTATTGGCAACTCATACAAAGGAATTAAAATTTAAAAATAGAAATAAGATTGCTAATCTAATGTTTTCAAGGTTAGTCGCACCTGTGAACCACGGTCGGGAATAATTAATGAACTGATATAGGATGCTGGAAAATATTGGGTAGAATTTTTAAATGTAGAAGTGAAGCAGGATAGAGTCTTCATATATCTTCCTTATGTCTTCATTTTTAAAAATTAATAAATGTTTAAATGATTCTTAACAAGCTTAATTCGGTGACAATGCTTCAAAAGATTATCAAGTTAAAAGCTGAAAAATATATCAAGCAGAAAAGTCAAAATACATCAATCCTTAATAATCATAAATTCTCCATTTTCTCCAATCAACCGAGCATTTTATAAAGGAACAAGAAAAAAAAATGTTGACACGTTCTTGTCATAATTTTTGTCATGCAAATGAAGCAAAATTCATCATCATTTTCAAAAAGTAATGACAGGCATCAGCATTTTTAGATCAATTTCCTTTTATTGGATACAAGAAAAAAATTTGAAAACATTTCAGATCCTTTTAATGCTGCTTATTTTTCAGATCAAAAACCTAATCACTAATCGATATATCAACACTTTTTTGTGTGTGTCCCACATCATCTTACAAATTCGAATATGTACATCATCATTCATATTAAAGTGAAATCAGACAATACATATGCTATACGCATTCAACATACATATACAGCATAAAACTTTTATTAAAAATGAATCGAAGATTTTTTCTGAATAAAGCAATCCATCACAAGCTATTGATGGAATTTCTGCATTTTCACACATTTTGTTCCATATCAAAGGGGTGAAAATGTCATCGCCATTTGCCTATAAATCAATTAATTTTTTGCCGCTTTCATCGATTTTAATTAAATTTTTATGTGCATTTTTTCCGTGAAATTATGGATTTTGAGGTCAATGTATGATTGGATGTGCTTAAGAATCGATCGAAAAATTCAAATTTTATAAAACCGTTATCAATTCAAGAATTTTAAACCCGCCAATTTTAAAAAAATTGTAAAACATTAAAATTTAAATTTTGCAAAGCCGTTATTTAAGGACTTAGTGAACTTCTGAGCCAATCTGATCTCTTGAAGAGCTCGAAGTCGATAGGGTTGAACCGAGTCGACTCAACTTTTTTTGAGTTGACTTCGAGCTCTGATCTCTTGTTCCATTTTTGCAATAGAAATTATTATTTGTCTCGCCTTTAATCAAGATTTTCAATACAAAATGGAACAGAACTTACCCAAGGCTTATATAATCGACCTCAGCAAGTCAAGATGTAATCTCTCTAATAAAAAATAAATATGTTTAGCCATAAAATCCTCTTTCCATGACACTTGAAATCCTTTTTAGCCTCAAACTAAAGCTAAAGTGATTGAGGAAGTAGATAGCGATAAAATTTATCGTTTTTCAGTGCTTGAGGAAAGGACATGCAGAGTAGGGCAGGAAAAAGGCAAATATTTTTTTTCCTTTTTCCTTCTTGTTGTTCCTTACCTCAATTGTTAATCTTTAAAAATCTCTTCTTTCTTCTTGATATTAATCAAATGAGTTCTCGTTGGAATTTTCATCCTCATTACTTTAAAGAATTTTTATGAGACACGCAATGCTCGTTCATTTATTGGTATATTCGCTAAATTAACGCTAGGAATGCAGGAGTTAGGCTGAAGAAGAAGAAAAAAAATAACCGGAAATTTATTAGATGAGACGCCAATAAGAAATATTTCAGTGAACAGGAATTCTTGATGACATGGAAGTGGTAAGGCGTGGTAAGTTTAAAAATCAAGCAAGTATTTGGATTTTAGAAGCATTCTCGATCGATTTGAGGTTATAAGAACTTTTTGTCATTTTTTAAATAGAACTGCTTTGTGCAATATTTATTAAAAATTCAGTTCCAACTGAACAATCAATCATTAAACATTTATGCTAGCAAAACATGACTAGAATGTCTGATTTATTTAATATCATTAAAAGATTTTTATAAGATTTCATATCGTTCTGATATGAAATATGTATTTAATATAAATCTCAAGAATCCGATTGGATTATGCTTCATCTGCTCTACCGCTATATTAGTTTACTTCTTCCAAGTCTGCATCCTCATGTCTACGTTTATGAAAAGCAATTCTTCACGGTTCTTCTTCATAAAATATCAAATAATACACTGAAAAAATTTTCTTCCTCATTAGTCCATAACTCACAGCCTCAATAGACAGGCATAAAAACTGAACATATTGTAAGCATAAGCGGCTTTTATGTTGATAGGAAAAAAATATCGCTATAATAGGAGATGTTAAAGTAAATAAACGACGCTAAAGAACCTTGAAGGACTAAAAAATTCCAATAAAAATGACTCGACAGCTTTTTATCTAACTCTAGGCGTTAAAGCAATTACATGTTTCTTTTCATCGAATACCAAGTGAACAACGGCAATGTGAAAAGAGGAAGGAACAAGAAGAAAAAAATAGAATAAAAGATGTGGTTTACTTGAGTGCCTTAAAAAATAGCCCAAAGATTTAAGTGTAACATATTTAATGAAAATGGAAAGGCCGCAAATATGCAAGAAGATGAAGATATGGCGAGATGTGTTCACAAAAGACTTTATGTACGTGCTTTATAATTTTTACGGCAATTAAGTTGTCAAGATATACAAAGAAAATGAATTAAGTAATTTTCTTCATACCGCATGTAATTTACGGCACTCAATTAAATTTTAATGTTGATTTAACCCAAAATAAAAGAGAGAAAGGAACTTTATTTACTTTCATGATGTTAAATACATATAGATTCTATCGACAAGGCACATTTAATTATTTAATAGCGTCAAAGGCAAACAAAAGCTTATAAAAAGCACGTTTTCATTGAATGAGGTGTTAATGTTTGCCGTCTGTCTGTTCAAATGCTAATGAAATTCTTGTTTGACAATTTCATTTCTTTGGGGATTGTTGACAGCTTTATTTATTTAGGATATTCATTGTTTTTTGATGTTGATTTATTCCGATTTTATTTCTGAGATTTGAAATATGCCTAAAGACGCAAAATACTTGCTCAAAAGATGCAAACTTTACATGTTGGATGCGAAAATTATGCAAAAGATTCAAAACCAGTTAAAAAGATGCGAAACCACTTTAAAAGATGCAAAACAAGTTCAACAGATACAAAACTAGTAGAAAAGATGCGAAACTAGTTCAAAAGATTCAAAAACAATTAAAAAGATGCGAAACTACTTTAAAAGATGCAAAACAAGTTCAACAGATACAAAACTAGTAGAAAAGATGCGAAACTAGTTCAAAAGATGCGAAACAAGTTCAAAAGATGCAAAATAAGTTCAACAGATACACAACTAGTAGAAAAGATGCGAAACTAGTTCAAAAGATTCAAAAACAATTAAAAAGATGCGAAACTACTTTAAAAGATGCAAAACAAGTTCAACTGATACACAACTAGTAGAAAAGATGCGAAACTAGTTGAAAAGATTCAAAACCAGTTAAAAAGATGCGAATCTACTTTAAAAGATGCAAAACTAGTTCAACAGATACACAACTAGTAGAAAAGATGCGAAACTAGTTCAAAAGATTCAAAACCAGTTAAAAAGATGCGAATCTACTTTAAAAGATGCAAAACAAGTTCAACTGATACACAACTAGTAGAAAAGATGCGAAACTAGTTCAAAAGATTCAAAAACAATTAAAAAGATGCGAAACTACTTTAAAAGATGCAAAACTAGTTCAACAGATACACAACTAGTAGAAAAGATGCGAAACTAGTTCAAAAGATTCAAAACCAGTTAAAAAGACGCGAAACTACTTTAAAAGATGCAAAACAAGTTCAACAGATACAAAACTAGTTAAAAAGATGCGAAACTAGTTGAAGAGATTCAAAACTAGTTCAAAAGATGCGAAACAAGTTCAAAAGATTAAATACCAGTTAAAAAGATGCGAAACTAATTTAAAAGATGCAAAACAAGTTCAACAGATACAAAACTAGTAGAAAAGATTCGAAGCTAGCTCAAAAGATGCGAAACAAGTTCAAAGATGCGAAACAAGTTCAACAGATACAAAACTAGTAGAAAAGATGCGAAACTAGTTCAAAAGATTCAAAAACAATTAAAAAGATGCGAAACTACGTTAAAAGATGCAAAACTTGTTCAACAGATACAAAATTTGTAGAAAAGATGCGAAACTACTTTAAAAGATGCGAAACAAGTTCAAAAGATGCGGATCTAGTTCAAAAGATACGAAACTAGTTCAAAAGAAGCAAAACTCTTTAAAATAATGAAAAACTAATTTAAAAGACGCAAAACACATTCGAATGATTCCAAAATTGTCCAAAACTCTTGCAACCATTGTCTCAAGAGCTTCCACTTTCCTTAAAAATTAAACCCTATTAACACACCCTCGAGAAAATTTCATTAACTTCTTTTTAAATCCACACAGATTTAATAAAAAAAAATTCCCACGGTAACAAGAAGTTCAACGAACTGTTGATTAAAAGTTATGCTTCATTTTATCTGGTGCCGAAAATGTTCTCCCTGTAACACATTCAGATAAGTAGAAGTTGAAACTTTTCTTCCTCTTTCACCACCATGCCTGTAACATTTTTTTTGTGCTGCTTAAATAATGAATTGATAAAAGTTTGAAAAACTTTGCATATTACACATAAATATACAGACATGTAGGTAGGATGTAGCTAAATGTTTCACATTCTCAGTTATTTTTTGTGATCAACAGAGGATGATAATATGAGAAAAGACGAAGAAGAAA